CCGCTCGTGCCCAACGCGATGCGGCACATAGACGAACCGAGACACTCATTGGCCCGCCAAGAGCAGCAGCAGCAGCAGCAGCAGCAGCAGCGACAGCAGCGACAGCAGCGACAGCAGCGACAGCAGCGACAGCAGCGACAGCAGCGACAGCAGCGACAGCAGCAGCAGTCGCAGCAGCTGCAGCCGCGACTGCAGCTGCAGCTGCAGCTGCAGCTGCAGCAGCAGCATCAGCAGGAGAAGGAGGAGGAGGAGGAGGAGGAGGAGGAGGAGGAGGAGGAGGAGGAGGAGGAGGGAGGAGGACGAGCAGCAGCTCCTGACCCAGAGGATCCCCTGGACGCGGCGCGTCCACGGGATCTTCTGGGTCACCCGCGGGGGCGCTAAGAGTGCGGTCTGCCCTTCTTCCCGGCCGCCGGCACGGCCTGGGCCCGAGCGGCTCCGGCGCCCTGCGCGGCAGTGGGCAGGCGCGCAGTGCCGCGGAGAGACCCAGCGCGCCAAGAAGCACGCTGCTCGCCTCCAGAGGGTGCCCTGGGCTTCTCCGAGCAGGGGAACAGAAGGTGACATTAACATAACAACTCGGATGTCCGCGCGGATTTCTCGGATCGGCGGTGGGGCCCCCCGGCGGCGCCTCCGGCGCCGCCCCTGGCGCGCTCCGCGCGCCGGGGAGGGGGGTCCAGCGCCGATCCGAGAAGTCTGCGCGGACCTCCCAGTTTTTATGTTGATGCCATTTCTTGTTCCCCTATGGAGTCTCGATGGTTTTTTGCGAGGGGGAGCGCGACGCTCCCACACCCCACAGATCGGTGGACGTCCTGGGGTCTCGGGGTCTGGCTTCCTGCGGAGGCGTCCTGTGGACTGGCCTCCGCGGTGAGGCGTGTGCTCGTGGCGCTGGCCTGCAGGGCGACGTGGGGCGGGGAGGAGGAAGTAATTATCACAAGGATTTGCGGGGGCGGGAAAGAGGGGGGTGATGACTAGGGGGGGGTGGATATCATGGCGGGGGCCATGCTATTTCCCCAGATTTCATGGCGCCTCTTCTTACTTCATCACGTCCCTGGCCCCCCCGCTGGGCCGCGCACGTGCCGCCGGTCATGATTTGCACCCCCCCCTCTTGGACACCCCCTCTTGGCCGCTCCCGAGATTTGGCTGGCGCCTCGCGTCCCCCGCACTCGCCCGTCCAGGACCGTCCCTCGGGTGAGCTGCCCTGGGCAGGGAAGTCACGTGGCGATCGCAAACGGATCGCAGAAGAAAGGGCAGCCGTCAAGATGAAGCTCGGGACCAGCCGGGCAGAGCCAGGAGCCAGCCACGAAGGCATGTCGAAGCTCGCGCCGGGTGATCGAACCGAAGCTGGAGTCCACCCGAGCAGCCCCCCTGCAATGGGGCCACCTTGTGGCGCTCCCGAAGGTCTGGATGGGGAGCGCCCGGGGGCGGGTATTCTCCTCCTCCTCCTCCTCCTCCTTCTCCGCCCTCCTCCTCTTCCTCCTCCTCCTCCTCCTCCTCCTCCTCCTCCTCCTCCTCCTCTTGAGTCCCTCTTTGGAGCCTTCGGAGCCTCCTGCGGGTCACCCCCAGGGGCGCCAGGATCATCGCGCTCCGCGCGTCGCGGCCCGGGGCTGGAGAGCTGCCCTCCTCCAGGGCGGCGGCGCGGTGGCGCGGAGACAGCCGCGCAGCACGAGGCGCGCTGCGCGAAGCTTGGTGGCCCAGGACCCACGAGCTACAGTCGGCCCGGATTAGTAGGTCGGCCCTGCCAAAGCAAGGGTACCCTCGTGTCCTGTGTCTCGCGACCCGTGCTTCCTGCATTCCTGTGGCGATGTGGCCCTCGGAAGGGTCTTGTGTCCTCTCCGGTGTCCTGTCCAACGAAGTCCGACTGTAACGGATAAGACAATGGGGTCGCAAATGAGTCTTATAAGCTTGGTCCACGGCTTGATACCGGGCACGGCCGAATGCGCGCGGCGCCAAGCCGGGAGGCACATTTTGAGAAAAAAGGAACGCCCTCTATCCGTGAAGTTGTTGAAAACTTTAAGACGCTTGTGCGCGGCGCTACGGATCCAAAAAAAACCATAGGTTAAAAGGGAACCGCCCTCAGGTTTGAAGCTGATGTGTGTTTTGAGAAATGGGAGCGCGCCTCCGAGGCAAAAGGCACTTCTTGAAAAGGCCCCACCGTCCTTCCATGAAGATGTGGCAAATGTTCGGGACGAGTGCGCGCGGCGCTGAGGCGAGAACGACAGTTTGCAAATGCCCCCCGCCGTCCGCGAAACTGGCACACAGTATCTGAATACGAGTGTGCGTGGCACCGAGGCAGGACCCACACTTTGACGACCACCCCTCCTCCATCCGTGAAGCTTTTTTTGCCAAACTCCAAGCTTCAGAATCGCAAGTGGTGGGGACGTCTGAGGCGGAACGCCCAGCACACGCCCTGTCGATACAACTGGGGGTGCGGGCTGTCGCTCCTACTGACACCGGGGACACCCAGGACAGGGAGGAGCTGTTCAGAAGGAAAGGGATGGAGGCGGGGGGGAAGGGGAGGAAGAGGAGGAAAGGAGGAGGCGGAGGAGGAGGAGGAGGAGGAGGACAGGGGGGAGGAGGAGGAGGAGGAGGAGGAGAGAGGAGAGGAGTAGGAGGAGGAGGAGAGGAGGAGGGGGAGAGAAGGGGTAGGTAGGAGGAGGGGGAGGAGAGGAGGAGGGGAGGAGGGGGAGGAGGAGGAGGGAGGAGGAGGAGGAGGGGAGGAGAAGGGAGGGAAAAAAGAGGAGGATGAGGAGGAGGGGGAAGCAGAGGAAGCAGAGGAGCAGGAGGAGGAGGGCGAGGCGTGGACGAATGAGGAGCAGGGCGCGATCGGCCTGTGCAGGCGCGGCCATTATCATCGGCCTCAGCCAGGCGCGCGGGTGGGCCCGACGCCGCGCTCTGCCCCGGCTGCCCCTGCTTCTGCCAGGCCCTCCTCCTCCTCCTCCTCCTCCTCCTTCTCCTCCTCCTCCTCCTCCTCCCTCGATCCTCCTCCTCCCTCGATCCTCCTCCTCCCTCGATCCTCCTCCTCCCTCGATCCTCCTCCTCCTCCCTCGATCCTCCTCCTCCCTCGATCCTCTTCCGCGCGTGCCACGGCTCGGTGGCGGGCGAGGGTGGGCAGGGAGAAGGAGAAGGCCTTCTCAGAAGGCGGCGGGACTTCTCAGAAGCCCCCGCCGTGGGCTGCGTCGTGGGCTGCTACCAGGAGGCTGAACACACGACGTGGCCGACCTGTGTGAGAGCTGTCGCTGTCGCTGTCGCTGTCGCTGTCGCTGTCGCTGTCGTCGTCGTCGTCGTCGTCGTCGTCGTCGTCGTCGTCGTCGTCGTCGTCGTCGCCATCGTCGAGGTCGTCGCCGTCGTCGTCGCCGACGAAGGCCATGTCACCCCCAGGGGCCGCGAGGGTACTCGTTTGGGCGGGGGGCCCCCCAGGACTGGGATGCGAGTCGTTCCAGGGCGTGCTGGGAGCGAGCTCCGGGCGTCCCGGAGCACTCCGGAACGGTCACGGCGCGCACTGTTTCTCCAGAGCCGCCAGGTCTCAGAGATCCCCGATTTTCCGAAGCCAGGCGAAGGCTGGCAATACTGTGGCTGCGAAAACGGAGCTCCAGGACATTGTTTTTTCTTCCGGGAAGCAGCCTGCTTGCTATTTGGCGCGCTGAGCTTTACTCCTGGAACTCGTTTTCTCTTCTGGGACGACCGGTGTAGCAGCCACGGATCTGCCAGAGAGAGAGAGAGGAGGAGGAGGAGGAGGAGGAGGAGGAGGAGGAGGAGGAGGAGGAGGAGGAGGGCCTTCGCCCAGCTGCCGAGATGTGTCCCAGTCCGCTTCCGTCTCGGGACCGGCTTCGGCCTCCTCGTGGCTCGCGCGTGGCGGCCTGGGCCAGAAAGCGGCTGCCCTTCGCTCGCGGGGGTGGTGGGGGGCTTGGCATCGCTCGGACGTGAGCAGTTGTCCTTCGGCGAGGACCACCGAGGAGCATCCTTGATCATTTGGCGAGAAAAGCACGCACGAAACCGAAAAAAGCACAGGGAATGGACGTCCGAGCGATGGCGAGTGGGGGGGGCGCGAGGGTACGGAGACGCGACCGCTCACCCCGAGCGACAGCAAGCGGCAGGAGGGCGAAACAGGAAAGCGCACAGGCACCACTCATCCGCTATTCCCAGGAGAAGATGGGAAGACATGAGAAGGGGGGAGGTAGGAAAGACGGAACTCCAGAACACATTATATATATATGTGTGTGTGTGTATATATACATATATATATATGTACATATACATATATACATATATATATATATACGCAGCCCCCCCCCCCAGCACCCACGAAGTTCACATCGATCGTCGGGGCGTCCATTCGCATTTTATCGCATTTTCACTGATCGATCCTCCTTTGAGCATCTATCCTCAGTCGTCTTCCTCCTATTCCTCTTCCTGCTGGCAGTCCCTTGCAGTTCTTGGCGTTTCCCGGTGTTACTCCCCCCATCGTCCTCCCTGTGCTGACTTCTCTCTCTTCCTCAGCTTCTGCCTGATTGTTTCGATGCTCCCCCCCGTCTTCCTCATTGACAGGGATCCTTTTGACATCGGTTACTAAAGGAATCCGAGTGAAACCGGCTACACACGGAATGCTATTGAGATCGGCTGCAAAGGGAATCCCATTGATACCCTTACAACAGACTTCGTATTGAAATCGTATTCAAAAGGAACCCTATTGAAATCAGCTACAAAAGGAAGCCGATTGAAATCTGTACAAAAAGAATCCGATTGAAATCGGCTACAAAATGAATCCTATTGAAATCGGCTACAACGGGAATCCTATTGAAATCCTCCTCCACAAAAGGAATCCTGTTGAAATCGGCTACAAAAGGAATCCGATTGACATTGGCTACAAAGGGAATCCGATTGAAATCCTTACAAAAGAGATCCTAATGAGATCGGCTGCAGAAGAAATCTTACTGTAATCGGCTATCAAAGGAATCCCATTGAAATCGGCTACAAAGGAATCCTTTTGAAATCGGCTACAAAGGATATCCGATTGGAATTCCCAACAAAAGGGATCCCACTGGCATCGGCTGCAAAAGGAGTCTTAGTGAAACCCGATTCAAAAGGAATCCCATTGAAATCGGCTACAAAAAGATCCAATTGAACTTCTCCAACAAAGGAAATGACAAACACAAGGTTCGCGAGGTCAGGGGTAATGAAACCCTGTGTTTTCATTTGGATGTTTGGGATTTTTGGGATGGAAATCAACGAAACCCTATGTTTTCATTTGGATTTTTTGGATTGTTGAGATTTGGGAGCCCTGCGAAAATACCACCGCCGCTCCTTCTCCAGGTCGGCGCCTTCAGAATCCCAAAAATCCAAATGAAAACACAGGGTTTGCGAGGTCAGGTGTGTGTAAGGAAACTTTGTGTTTTCATTTGGATTTCTGTGATTCTGCAGGCGCCGGCGTGGGGAAGGAGCGGCGGTGGTATTTTCGCAGGGCTCCCAAATCTTCAAAATCCCCAAAATCCACCTGAAAGCACCGGGTTTCGTCGATCTCCACCCCAAAAATCCCCAACATCCAAATGAAAACTCAGGGTTTCGTTGATCTCCATCCCAAAAATCCCCAACATCTAAATGACAACTCAGGGTTTCCTTACCCCTGACCTCGCAAACCTTGTGTTTTCATTCGGATTTTTTGAATTCTGGAAGCGCTGACCTGGGGAAGAGCGGCGGTGGTATTTTCGTAGGACTCCAAAATCAAAAAAATCGAAAACATCCAAATGAAAACACAGGGTTTCGCGAATTTCCATCCCAAAAATCACAAACATCCAAGTGAAAACACAGGGTTCCTTAGCCTTGACCTCGCAAACCTTGCGTTTTTATTTAGATGTTTTGGATTCTGAAGGCGCCGACCTGGGGAAGGAGCGGCGGTGGTATTTTCGTAGGGCTCCCAAATTCCAAAAATCCAGAACATCCATGTGAAAACGCAGGGTTTCGTTAAATTCCATTGCAAAAATCATATAATTCTGAAAGCGCCGACCTGGGGAAGGAGCGGCGGTGGTATTTCCGTAGGACTCCACAATCCCAAAAGTCCCACAAGTCCGAATGAAAACATGATTTCGTTGATTTCCATTTCAAAAATCCAAATGAAAACACAGGATTTCCTTGCCCCTGACCTCGCAAACCTTGCGTTTTTATTTAGATGTTTTGGATTCTGAAGGCGCCGACTTGGGGGAGGAGCGGCGGTGGTATTTTCATAGGGCTCCTGAATCCCAGAAATCCAGAACATCTTGGTGAAAACAGGGGGGTCGTTGATTTCCATTCCAAAAAAAAAACATCCCAATGAAAACACAGGGTTTGGTGATCCGACGTGACGGCGTGAAGGTTCCTACAAGCTGGTGTCATCCGTTGGGGAGGATGGTGTCCTTTAGCCTTCCGCTGCGCGCTGTGGCAGAGCGCGCGCCACGCCACCGTCAGACGTGAGAGCAAAGAGCCGACGCTGGGATGTTGGGAAGCGAATGCCGAGATTGGGAGGGAAGGAGGGAGGCAGAGAAGGGGATGAAATGAGAAGAAGAGCCAAGAGAAAGGGAGATTAGTAAACGCGTCGGCTGCGAATGCTGCGAATCGTGGGTGCTGGGGGGGCTGTCCATGTATATATATATATATATATATATAGATGGAAAAGTATAGGGGAAGGCCGGGATGTATGTGTCCTCTTATATGTATGTCCCTGGGCCCCATTCGAGGTGGCCGCACGTGACGGCGTGGACGGCGCGACGTTCCCACGCCAAGAGTCCATGGACGTCCTGGGGTCCCAGGGTCGGGTTTCTTGTGGAGGGCTTCTCGTGGACTGGCCTCCACTATTTCTGCGTGTGTTCCAGCCTCTTGTTACAGCTGGCGCGGGAGTTTGGAGCAACCGTAGCTTTCGAAGGGGTACTCCAATCTTCTTAGAGCGTGGTTTTTGTGTGTACAGTCGGGGCCATGAAGAAGGAACCCTTTTCGTTGGGGAGGGGCTCCGCGTTCCTTAGTTGTTTCGCAGCTTGCCTGAGGTTTTCCTTATGTTTTCGATCGGGCATCGAAGCTTAACTTAAAAAGGGGCCTCGTTCCTTATTTAGGGTTCCTTAGGTCAACGCCTCGACTGTATTCCAATCTTCTTAGAGCGTGGTTTTTGCGTGCACCCTCTGGGCCACAACGCGCGCCGTGCCCCCTGCCGCCCCCCCTCCACCCTCCCCTATAACGCAGCGCCCCCCCCCCTCCCCCCCGTCAGTGCGTCCCCGGCGCTGCCGCAGCGCGCCCAGCACCCAGTCTGGGGTGGGTGGGGGGGGGCTCCGTCGTGCCCCGCCCCATCCTCCTCCTTGTCCTCCTCCTCCTCCTCCTCCTCCTCCTCCTCCTCCTCCTCTTCCTCCAACTCCTCTTCCTTCTATTTCCCTTTCTCCCCTCCTGTTTCCCCCCCCCCCCCTCGTAGCGCCCGTCATGGCCGCGAATAGAAGGTGCGCTCCAGGGCAGTCGTGCGTCGCGGGGCGCTGCGGTGCAGCGCCGCACCCGCCCATGCCGAGCGCGCCCCTGCGCGGGCCCAAGCTCTGCCAGGCCCAGGCAGCTCGCGAGGCTTATGTACATTATGCCCCTCCTTTCCCCGCGTTACGTCGTGCCCCCATCCCCCGCCCCCCTTTCCCTTTCCCCCCCCATCGCGCCCGTTGTGGCCGCAAAGAAAACAAAGCAAATGCGCTCTCAGTGTTCGAGCCCTCCGCCGCGGATTGTTCTCTTCGTTATTGGGGTGCCTCCACGGGGCCCCTGGCCCTGCGGCGAGGGGCGCTCGTAGTTTTGGCCCGCGCTCTTTTGTTACCTTTCTCTGATCGCACTCCTCCCTCCTCTTCCTGCTCCTCCTCCTCCTCCTGTTCCTCGTCTTCCTCCTCCTCCTCCTCCTCCGCCTCCCCTCCTCCCTCCCTCCTCCCCCTCCTCCCGCCCTCCCTCCCTCCCTCCTCCTCCCGTCTCCGCGTCGTCCTCCTCCTCCTCCTCCTCCCTCCTCTCCTCCTCCTCTCCACCTCCTCCCCTCCTCCCCCACTCCGCCTCCCTCCTCCTACTCCTCCTCCTCCTCCTCCTCCTTCTCTCCTCCTCCTCAGTCTCCCCTCCTCCCTCCTCCTCCTCCTCCCCTCCTCCTCCCTCTCGCCTCCTCCTCCCTCCTCCTCCTCCTCCGCCTCCTCCTCCTCCCCTCCTCCTCCTCCCTCCTCTCTCCCCTCCTCTCTCTCCTCCTCCTCTCTCCTCCTCTCTCCTCCTCCTCCTCCTCCTCCTCCTCCTCCTCCTCACCCTCCTCTCCGCCTCCTCCTCCTCCTACTTTACTCCTCCTCCTCCGCCTCCTCCTCCTCCTCCTCCTCCCCCCTCCCTCCCTCCCTCCCTCCCTCCCTCCCTCCTCCCTCCTCCCTCCTCTTTCCTCCTTCCTTCTTCCTCGTCCTCCTCATTCCTCATTAATTCTTCTGCTCCTGGACATCCTGCTCCCTCCTGCTCCTGCTCGAGCTGCTCTTCGCTCGTAGTACCCCCTCCTTCCCTTCTCGTCCCCCGTCGCGTCGTGTCGTCCAGTTCATCCCCGTTCCCTCCTCTCTCCTGCTCACCCCGACTCTCCATGCTCCTCGCTCTCTCTCACTCGCTCGTGACCTCCGCCCGAATGCCACTGAGCGTGGACATCTATGGACGCCTCTGCGGCGCGGCAGCATCCCCGCCCGAATGTCCGCGAGTGCTCACGAGGAACGCTTGGCGCCTCTGCCTTCAGAGCCCCTGGCGGTCACCGCGGCCCTTGGGTGCCAGCGGGGGTGTCCCCTCCGAGGCGGAACAGCCGCTCCCCAGACGTCCTCCGATGTGCTCCGATCTGCTGCCCCAGAGCTCCCGACTCCTTCCCCTGGGGTAGTTTTGCCTCCCAGGTCTACGTTTGACAGCCCCGGAGATCTTGGCGACTCGATGTTGCTCGAGCCGGGCGTTTTCGCCCAGCGTCTTGCCCCGGGACCCTCGCGGATCGATCCAGCTCGAAAAATGATGCGGAAAGCTCGAGTCCAGGAGGAGGAGGAGGAGGATTTGGAGGAGGAGGAGGAGAGGAGGAGTGAGGAGGAGGAGGAGGGGGAGGAGGAGGGGGAAGAGGAGGAGGAGGAGGAGGGTTCCAGACGTGATTTGCCACGATGCTTCAACTGTTTCGAGACGTCGGATCTCAGGAGGCCTGGAGGCCGCAAAACCGAAGAAAAAACACACCAGGACGGCTCGGCTCATAGTCATTGAGGAAGGGGAGAAAACATACAGACACAGATCATCGTCGACTCCCAGGGAGATGTGGACAATATTGGGAAGTGGACGGGGGGAAGAACATCCAGAAAATGAGGAAACCATCGGGAATCCTGGGGTTTGTGTCTATTTGTTTGTGTGGTTCTGGGCCTCTTGAATCGTATCGTCGGAGGTCTGGGCCAGGGGGTGCGGATGGCGCGGCGGCACATCCGTGTCCCAGGGTTCCGTTGGCGCAGGCCACTTTGAGTGCGAGATCTAAGTCGGGCGCGTCCCTCTACAGGAGGAATACTCAACAAATAGGCAAGCAATAGGTTGGGGAACTATTTTGGGGATACGTTTTGGCATTTTTGAATATTTGGGTTGGCCATTTGGGGAGCATGGTGTTTTGGCATTTTTTTTAGTTTTGCAAGTTTGCGTATTGTTGTATTTTTGGGGGCATTTTGGGAGTATTTTAAGTTTCGTCGAAAATCCGCTTGTAGGAAGACACGCCCGACCTGGTGCGAGATCATGGCAGGCCCCCTGACTCTTATTCTGCCGTATTTCCTGGGCGATCTCGCCAAGCGGGGCGGAAAGCGCCGCCTTGCTTTCAAGCTCCTCCTCTAGACGAGGAGGAGGAGGAGGAGGAGGAGGAGGAGGAGGAGGAGGAGGAAGGGAGGAAGGGAGGAAGTAGGAGGATGGCAGCTTCTGGGTGTTCTGGAGCCCCTGGGGGGCCCACCACTCTTCGCTCGCCGCCGGGGTCAGCCCCAGAGGGCCCCCCCCCCACGAGGGGGCGCCCTCCACTGGGGGCTCCTCTGCCGTCGCTGCTTCCGCCATGCCTGTGTGGAAATATCCGCCCCTATTTTCGGATGCGACTCCTGGGAGGTCAAACTCTGATCTAGCCCTGGTCCGAAATCCCGCTCAATCCGGCTTAATCCCGCTCAATCCCGCTTAATCCGGCTTGATCCCGCTTAATCCGGCTCAGTTCCGCTTGATCCGAGACCCGTTCTGGCTTGACAGCCCCCCAACGGGGCTTAATCCTCCTTAATCCTTCCGACGAAAAACCTCCCAGTAGTTGCCTCCTAACCTATTCTTCTAAGGCGGAAGTGTCCACCCTATTTGCTCGCATCGGTTCGGGGTGCATTTCCGACACAAGCTGAAGTCGGAGCATCAGCCAAAGCTGCGGGGTAGAGAAGCCGTCGATTCGAACAGACGCCGACGCCGACGCCGACGCGGACCCCGACGCCGACGACGACGACGACGACGACGACGACGACGACGACGACGACGACGACGACGACGATGCTGATGGTCCCAAGGACGGCCCCAAGGAGGGCCCCGAGGAGGACCCCAAGGAGGGCCCCAAGGAGGGCCCTACTAGGAGGGCCCAAAGGACGGCCCCAAGGACGGGAGGGCACTTCTCCCGATCCATGGATTTGGCGACCGCGCGCCAGATCCACGGATCGCCAATCCAGGCTTGCGCGCCCCCGAGCAGAGAGAGCGCGAGAGAGGCAGGAGCAAAAGGGAGAGAGAGAGAGAGAGGGCCTCCTCCTCCTCCTCCTCCTCCTCCTCCTCCCTCCTCCTCCTCCTCCTCCTCCCCCCTCCTCCTCCTCCTCCTCCTCCTCCTCCTCCTCCTCCTCCTCCTCCTCCACAGAGAGGGAGAGAGAGAGAGGCAGGAGCGAGCAACGAGCACTCCGGCGCCACCCACTGCTTGGCGCACCGCGCCCCCCAGGGAGGGGCGGGGGGATCGGGGTCCGGCGCAGATCCAAGCTCCTCCTCCTCCTCCTCCTCCTCCTCCGCCTCCTCCTCCTCCTCCTCATCCTCCTCCACTCCGCGCGGGCCGCCGAAAGGTTGCGTCTCCCCAGGGGACGGGGGACGAGGTCGGAGGAGGAGGAGGTGCTACCCAGACCTCTACCCTCCCCTCGTTTTCCCCTTTTTGGGCCTCTGGGGCCTCCGCCATCGTCACCGCTGGATCCGCCTCGAAGTCCTGGCCAGAACGCACCCCAGGAGAGGTCCCGGCAGTAGCGGCATCGGTACCTTCTGGTCTCCCCAAGAGGGGAAGCTGGGAGGGAGAAGGGAGGAGGGAGGAGGGAGCGAGTCAGACAGGGAGTGAGTGGGGTTGCAGCTGGGGTGGACGAGGGGGGAGGGGGGCGCGACGAGGACGAGGAGCCCCCCTCGGCCCAGCTCCCGCTTGCCGCGCCGCCAGCGGGAGCTGCGCCCGTCTCTCGTGCTGCCCCGTCGCCAGGTGAAGTATTTCCTCGGCTACGACCTGCCGAAGTCCCAGGTCGTCTACGTTACGGTCTGGCCGTGTGGCCGTGGCGGCGAAGATCCTGTCTGCATGCCTCGATGATTTGTGGTGATTGGCCCGGGTATGCTCGTGCGTCGAACGGGAAGCACACCGCGGCAGAGTGGGGATTGCTTCATCAGTCACCCGTTCATCCTACACTCTCGTGAATAGTTGTGTCAGATCATCTGCACATGTGGGCGGAGCCGACACAATGGGAGATCATGTGGTGCCTCTCTCGAGCGCTCAGACCGTCGTCCGAGTCGATGCTGGCTCGAAATGAGAGAGAAGTGCAGAAGTTTTGCCCTGAGCTCGTGCCTGCAGAAGTGGGCCTCCCCAGTCTCAAAATATGCAGGCGACAGCCCAGATCGTCCAGGTGCAGCGGGGTCAGGAACTCGTCCAGTTGCAGCGGAGTCAGTCTTTTAAGAGGGCCCCCCTCTCTCAGATGGCAGGATCGGCGCAGCGTGGCTGACCGCCAACAGGGGTCGACCTCCCCAGCGCTCGCAAGCCGCCTCGGGGAGTCCACGACGCCCCCACAAGTCGGTTCCCCGGGCTACCCGCGGGGGCGCGAAGAGAATCGCGCCTTCGCGCGTCCCCGTCCAGGTCGGAGTGCTTGCCTTCCTCCAGAGGGGGGCAGTGTGAGTGCGCTGGGTCTCGCGGGCGCGAAGATAACCGCGCATCGCGGGCGCGGTGCGCGGAGTTGCGTGACCTGGGCTCTGCACCCAGTGGGAGGAGCCAAGAGGAAGAGGAGGCGGCGGCGGCGTACAGAGTGAGTCAAGTGACGCGCGGAAAGGTGGGGCGCACTGCGCAGTCTGTGTGTGTGTGTGTGTGTGTTTGTGTGTCTCTGTGTGCGTGCAGGCGAGCGGGCGGGCGGGCGGGCGGGCGTGCGTGCGTGCGTGCGTGAGTCCGTGCTTGCGTGCGTGCGTGCGTGCGTGTGTTTGTGTGTGTGTGAGTGTGAGTGAGTGTGAGTGAGTGTGTGTGTGTGTGTGCGTGCGTGCGCGTGCGCGTGCGTGTGCGCGTGCGCGTGCGGGTGCGGTGCGCGTGCGCGTGCGCGTGCGTGTGAGCGTGCGTGTGCGCGTGCGCACGCGCACGCACCTGCGCGAGCGCGAGCGCGAGCGCGAGCGCGAGCGCGAGCGCGTGCGCGTGCGCGTGCGCGTGCGCGCGCATGTGCGTGTGCGTGTGCGTGTGCGCGTGCGCGTGCGCGTGCGCGTGCGTGTGCGTGTGCGTGTGCGCGTGCGCGTGCGCGTGCGCGTGCGCGTGCGCGTGCGCGTGCGTGTGCATGTGCGTGTGAGAGAGAGAGAGAGAGAGAGAGAGAGAGAAAGAGAGAGAGCGTGCGTGCGTGCGTGCGTGCGTGCGTGCGTGCGTGCGTGCGTGCGTGCGTGCGTGCGTGCGTGCGTGTGTGTGCGTGCGTGCGTGTGTGTGTGTGTGTGCGCGTGTGCGAAGCGCGTGCGTGTGCGTACGCGCACGCGCTCGTGCTCGCGCACTTGGCAGCTTGGCTGCACTCACTGCGAGGAAGCCTCCAGAGGGCAAAATGCGCAGGAGGGTGCTATTCACGGTGGGCTCTTGACGCTGTCGTTGTCGACGCGGCGGCGGCCTCAGCGCGGTCGTGCAAGACCGAACGCCGCCAGCTGGCGTCGGCCGATCTGGGCTGCCGGAGCGCCGCGATCGGTCACGGGAGAACGATCCACCCGGTGCCGGAAATGAAGACGACACGAACCTCAGAGGAGGAGAAAAGGTACCCATACCTCTACCCTCCCCTCGTTTTCCCCTTTTTGGGCCTCGGAGGCCCTCGTCGCCACCGTTGGATTCGCCTTGAAATTATGGTCAGAAAGCACCCCAGGAGAGGTCCGGGGAGTAGCGGTATCGGTATCTTTTGGTTTCCCCAGAACCAGCCGTAGATGATGGAGCTCGCTCCGGCATCAGGTCCACAACATCATCCTGAGGTTGGGAGAGACGAACGGGATGACGCTGTTCCTTGGCGCCGCGCCGCCGCTCGCCAGCTGCTCTCGCGTCGTTGCTTCCTTCAGCAGCGCAGCCAGCACGCGCTTGCTGTCCTTTGCTCTGCGCGCGCTCGAGCAGGACTCGCCCGTGCGATTTGCCCCGGACGGATTGATCTTCTTGCTGACGGGTGATTGATGCGAGAGGTTCAATGCTGTATAGTTGGCGTCCTCTTAATTTTGTTCCAAGATGTGGAAAGAGCTCTTCCATGCACATGTACAGATGGATCGGCATGGTGTTTTTGGAGCTGTGTTGTTGTAGTATCTACGTGTTGTAGGAAACTGTGTAGGACATCTTGGCAAACATGTTGCGTCGCCAGGAAGTGCGCGCCAGACAGTTGAGGAAACCGCTGTTGCCATGCAGCGGGGTTGCAGAAAATGGCTGCCATCTGCCATGACAAAACACATTGGAGAACGTGTTGATGCCAAAAAGGGGTGCCGCAGAATGGTTCGTACCCATGTCGCCTGGCGCTTGTCTGCAACATACTCCTCAAGAATCAGACAGCGGTGGGACATGTGCGTCCATGACGGTCCCCCCTCTCCGTAAACGGGACGCTCCCCGGGATCCTTGGCCCCGGTAGGGGGCCACATGCGAACCTTACCCTCACCCCCCACGATTTTTGGGGGGGAGGGTGGGGTTCACTCCGTCCGGGAGCTCCCAAGCGAAATGAACCCCACCCTCCCCCTCAGAAATCGTGTGGGGCAGGGGGAGGAGGGGGAGGAGGAGGAGGAGGGGGAGGAGGGGGAGGAGGAGGAGGAGGAGGAGGAGGAGGAGGAGGAGGAGGAGGAGGAGGAGGAGGAGGAGGCTCCCTACCTGGGGCACCCTGAACGCCCTCGCAGACGGGCCCCCGTCGGTCGGACGGGGAGGGCGGCCGCGCGGCCCCGCGAGGGCCCCGCGCGCACGCCCAGCAGACGCCCAGCAGGCGCCCGGTGACGACTAGGGGTAAGTCGGCCCGTCCCTCTACAGGGGGAAGATTCAAAAATAGTCAAAAAATAGTCAGGGGACTATTTCTAGAGCATTAGTTGACCATTTGGGGGTATTTTTGGGTATTTGTTTTATTTTTCGTCGAAAATCCCCCTGGAGGGGGACAGGCCCGACTTAAGACTAGGGGCGTGCTTACGGCCCTCTGTCTTGTCACGCTGACTGTTCGGGCCGCGTGCCCGCGGCCGCGCGAATGGCCAAGGCCAGCACCTCTGAGTGGTCATTCGGGCTCATTCGGCTGCGGCGGGGGGCACGAATCCACCGTGACACCCACAATGTGCGTAAGCACGTCCACAGGTGACGACCCAAGGAAGACCCCCAAGAGTTGTGGAGGACGATCAATGGAGAGGAAGCGTGCTGCCGAATAATTCTCCAGATGTCTAATCACATGTTTCAAACCTGTTTTAGATAGGTAAAAACATGTTTGAAGCCTGTTTAGAACATGTTTAACACAATTCAAGCATTTTTTAGTTCAATGATAGGACAGTTAGAGTGTCCATTGTCGTCGCATCCACAACCCAAGAGGCATTCGAAACGCAAAAACCATTGGTTCCGATGGTTTTGCATGATTTGGGGAGGTCTCTGAAGAGGGCTCTCGGGCAGTCCAGGAGGAGCCCCAAGACGGCCCAACAGGTCTCCAAGATTGCCCGAAGAGAGCTTCATGACGGCCCACGATGGCCCCAAGACGCCCCCCGAATCATTCCAAATCGTGATCCGGTCGTTCAGGGAAACCGCGGTTGGAACTAGGGTGGCCCGGGGAACCCCCCAGAAGGAACCCAGGAGGCCTCAAGAATACCCCAATAAAGCCTTTAAAATTATCCTGAGGCCCCTAGGGGCTTTTCTTGGATGAGCCTCCGCAAAAAGAGCTGGAGGATGGGGACGAATTCGCAGGGTAGGAAGAGAAGGAGCAAGAGGAGGAGGAGGAACTATGAGGGACGGACAACGAATCACATTATTACAACGACGGCGCCATAATAACACACATACATATACATAAACATATATATTTATATATCTTCATCTATACAGATATATACACATACATACCTGCACACGTACATATATACATACATGCTCATACATACAGACATGCTCGCATGCTCGTTTATTCATACATCCATACATTCATACGTATATACATACATACACATCGGCGCATTCATACGCATACATACATGCATGCATACATACCTACATACCTACACATACACACATACATACATACACACATGCACACATACAAACATACATTCATGCATACGCATACATACATACATACCAGCATACATACATGCACGCACATACGTGCATACGCACATACGCACATACATGTATACATACATACGCACGTGCACACAAGCATACATACACACATACATGTACACATACATACACACATACATACACACATACATACACGCAACACACATATATACATACATGCATGCACACACACACGCACATGTACATACACACACATACATGCGTACACACATACATACATACACACACTCATACACACCTGCGTACATACGTGCGTACATACATACATACATACATACATACATACATACATACATACATACATACATACATACACACACACACATACATACATACATACATACATACATGCATGCATACATACATACATACATACATGCATACATACATACATACATACATACACACACAGACATACATACATACATGCATGCATACATCCATACATACACACATACAAACATACATGCACACATACACATACATGATTATATACATACATACATACATCTACGCGCATGCATACAGCAATACATCCATCCATACAGTCACACGTACATGCATGCATGCATACACACACTGACAGACATGCATATCGACATGCATACACACATACTACACACATACGGCGTATACAGAAACACCCGGGGCTGTACAGGCTGTCGGTGAGGAGCACACCGCGTCTCAAATGCGAGCTCCGACGTCGCTCGTGCTCAGGAGAATCACCTGAATAGGCATTCGGCCCGAGAGTGAAATGAGCATCGTCGTCGTTAGCGGCGGCAGTTTCGTAGGTCCGGATGGAGGTGGCTGCGCAGGCTCTGCAGGCGCCGATGGAGGAGCTGCGGGCGCAGCTCGCGCGGGCGCCGGGTGACGCCCGGGGAGGCCCGCGAGGAGGCCGCCGCGGGGCGCAGGGGCGCCGCCGGGGGAGGACGTCGAGAGGGAGGTGCACATCTGTCGGTTGGCGCACCGCTGCTGGGGAAGCCTCCGAGGCTCCGCTCGCGGCCGGCGGAGTGGCCGAGCTGGGGCGTGCTCGCGCGGAGCTGCGCGGGCCTGATGGCCACGCGCAGAGGGGGGTAGGGGGAAGAGAGAAGGCTTCTGAGAAGCACCCCTGCCTCTTAGACGGCGCGGGCCTTCTTTGTAGATGTAAGGCCGGCGCCTTCTGAGAAGCAGCCTCCTTCTAAGAAGCCTCCCCCCCCCCTACCCCCTTGTGCGCGCCGCCAAGCCTGGCCAGCCAGCAGCCGCCGCACCTGATGCAGACCGCGATGGACGACCGTGCGTCCTGCAGTGGCCCGTGCCGCATCCTGCTGCACCCCGCGGAGGGCGCAGCGTTCACGAGGTGCCGAACTCACCGCCCACCACACCACCCCAGCCCAATCCAACCCGAAGGCTCCGTTTTGCCTTCCATATCCAGTAGGGGGGGCGGGGAGCATGTCTAATAAATAAATAAATTCATACATACATACATACATACATACATACATACATACATACATACATACATACACACATACACACATACACACGTACACACATACATACATACATACATACATACATACATACATACATACATACATACATACATACATACATACATACATACATACATACATACATACACACATACACACGTACACATACATACATACATACATACATACATACATACATACATACATACATACATGCATACATTCATACATGTATATATATATATGTATATATGTAGCCCGTGCCCCCCCCCCCGCGCCGAAATTCGGGTTTTCGGGTTGGGTTGGGGTGGTCTGGTAGGTAGTCATGAACGCTCGGGACCAGGAGGGCCTGATGGCCTGGAAGGCCTTTGTGTCGGAGTACGTGCTGGACGTGAAAAAAAACGCTTTGTTGGCCACCTCCAACAGATCTTGGCGTTCAGCTCCGCGGGCGACGCGGCGGAACGCGTGGAGGCGTTCGAGCGCGAGGTCGCGTTCTCGGAGGCGCAGTCGACGGAGCTGATGAGCGACGCCCTGCGCATAAGCGTGGCGATGCGCAACCCGGAGGCGGGACCGACGAGGAGCCATCACATCTCCAACGCGCCCTGGCTGGGCACCTGGGCGAACCTCGGGCAGGAGGTCACCGCCCATGCGCCGGGCCTGCCAGGCCTTTGGCATGGCGGGCATCAGCACGCGGCGCTCGCGGGGGCGGGCGCCAGCTCGCCGGGCAAGCCCGCGCAAGGTAGAGGCCGAGGCGCCGAGGCGCGCGCCGGCTGCCGCCGTGGGGCGCCAGGGCAAGGGGCGGCCAAAGTGCCCGCGGAGGGGCTGCTGGCCACCTGCCAGCTGGCGAGGGGGGCCATGGGGGGCCGAGAGGAGGCGCTGGCAGGGGCCGCGGCCGGGACATCACCACTTACCAGACCACCCCAACCCAACCCGAAGGCTTCAATTTACCTTCCATTTCCAGTGTGGGGGGGTCGGGGAACGTTGCAAAAACACATGGCCCCCCCCCCAACCCGAAATTCGGGACAGATTCGGGTCTTCGGGTTGGGCTGGGGTGGTCTGGTAGGTAGTCAGGACAAGGCAGGCAAGGGCGGCGGGACGGTGCCGGAGAAGTTGCAGAGCACTTCTCCGAATTGCGGCGGCGAGGGCCGCTGCGCTCGCGAGCGCCCGTCGAAGAAGACGGCGCGCGGCCTCGGCGAGGAGGGGCTGCTGGCGGGGCCCGCGGCGAAGCCCGAAATGGGCGGCTTGCAGGCGTCGCTCGAGTTCAACAGTCTCGACGACGTGGGCTGCTCGGGCGGCCATTGCGCGACGTCGCTGGACATGGGGGGCGACGAGCTCGAGCTTCTGGAGGTCGGCGGCGTGGAAGCGCGGGAGATCATCGCCTCCGGCATCGACTCCGGGGCCGCACTGACCACGATGAGGAAGCAGGGGCGCGGTCGCTGCCCAGTGTCGCCCACGGCGCAGTCCACGCGCGGCGGGGAGTGCCGCGCCACTTCGGGCCACCGCGTCAAGTTCGAGGGAGGTCGCCGGCTGCTCGTCGGCGGCGGGGCCGGCCAGGCACCGCGAGAGTCGGTGGCGCATGTCGGCAAGATGGCGAAGTCTTCGGCTGCTGCCGGCGCGGTGGGCTCAGGTCACGAGGTCGCCCTGTGCGGCGCCGGGCACTGCGCGCTGCGCAAGGCAAGCGGCGCCGCGATGCAGACCCATCGCCGCGGCCGCGCTTTCGAGGCGGACTTCGAGGCGATGCCGCCCGAGGCGCTCGCGGCATCGGGCCATCCGGGCCTGGGGCAGCTTCGCTGCAGGCCCCCAGACGTGGGGCGGATCAGCCTGCGCCCCAGGGCCGATGCCAGTAGAGGAGGGGGGCAGGGCCGAGTCGGCCCCCGGCGCTGCGGCGGAGACCCCCGCTGCAGGGGAGCCAGTTTCCGATGCCTACGTCGACGGCCGCGTCGCACCTCGTCGCGGCGAGGTGGGCCGCAGTGAAGATGCCATCGCAGTCGCTGACATAGATTGCGGGCACCTGACGCAGAGAGCAAGAGGAGGAGGCGCGGCGCCAGGCGCTGCCGCTGAGGGGGCGCCCGGGTGGCTGCCTCAGTGACGCGTGGCGGGGGCCCCTCGGGCAGCGCGCCCTCCGGCCACGCGTTGCCTTGCAAGGGCGAGGGGCGCCCCTGGTGCGCCGCGGTGCTCTCGAGCGAGGTCGACGCGGCGGGTCGCGGCTGGGCGATCCCGAAGTCAGACGGCGAGCCGCCCACCGTCGCGTTGAAGACGGTCGCGGAAGCGGGCGCTACCAAGTTCGGAATCGCTCTGCAGTTGGAGCCCCCCGCGGGCGACTCAGCCGCCATCGGGTTGGCGGACGGGGCGGCCCGGGACATCGAGGCGAAGGTTCAGGCGCTCAAGTTTGCGCGCGAGGAGCTGCGCGGCATCGGGATTGACGAGCATCGCACCGCGCACGGCTGGGTCGTCGACTGCGGCCTTCAGCGGGGAGATCATGGCGCTTCGGCGCAACGAACCGCCGAGTCGCTTGGATGGGGCGCGTCGAGGGGGCGATGTCGGGGCTTTCCTAGGGTCGAAGTTCAGAACGTCCGCAGGCTCCCCGAGGGCAACCGCGGCGACCCGGCGCTGCTCGACGCCGTCAGAGGAGCCTCCTGGCAGCGGGCCCCACCCGCCGCGGTCGCAGGCAAGGGGCGAGGGCGCCGCGGCCGCTCCGCCCCGGATCGCGGCAGAGGCCGAGCCTGTGGCCCCCGCTGCGCAGTTGCCTCCGGCGCTGGACCCCTCGCGAGTTGCGAGGCCGC